GCAGCCGGTGGCTCCTGGCAGCAGATGCTCTGTGTCCCCGATACTGCCCCGGGTGTTTCCACAGGAGCGAAGGGGAACGTTGTCCCTGCACGCCTTGTGCTGGGTGTTGGAGCTGGGCATACAGAGGGTGAGGACCGCGGGTTTGCTGGCTCCCCATGAGGACACAGCATCCCTGCATCCCACTGCATCCCATACCGAGCCAGGGTCAGCGCTGCTGGAGCAGCCCGGCAGTGAAACACCATCAGCTGCTCTGCGCTGGCACAAAGTAAGGAAGAATTCATAGAATCACAGAACCATGGAATGGTTTGGGTTGGAAAGGACCTTAAAGATTGTACAGTTCCAACCCCCTGCCATGGGCAGGGACACCTCCCACTAGCCCAGGTTGCCCAAAGCCTCATCCAGCCTGGCCTTGAACCCCTCCAGGGATGGGGCATCCACAGCTTCTCTGGGCAAATTGGTACAAGACAGGTTCCAGGGGGATTTAAACAGCAGGATGTATCCTGCTACGTTTGCTGTACCTGAGAAATATACACCAAGCTCCAAATCTGCCTTTTTTCCCCCAGTGAAGTAGACCTGGAGCTGGTGGCCCTGGTCTAGCGGAGCACAGGCACCGGGGAGCTGGCGTGATGCAGCATCTAACGCCGGCCACGCGTGCCTTTATGTTTGGATGGAGTTAAGTGCAAAGTTCCTCAGCTGTGCTCCCAGGCTTTGCAGCGTGGACACCTCCAGGAGATCTGTCTGAAATTCAGGAGCTGGGTGTCTCTGAGGTGAAGGAATTTGAGCAGATCATGGTGCAGAGGCACAGAAAAGCTGGAGGAAAGGAGACCGAAAGCCAAGCAGTGTTTGGGCTGCTAATCCACTCAGTGGCTCCTCTCTTTTATTATGACTTTTTATTAGATCACCGCTGCTCCCCTCCTGGGTTAATATCTTTTCCTTGGAGCCTTGCAGGGATTCTCGGCATCTTTTCGGTACAGCTGTTCCCGGGACGCAGGGAACAGGAATGCTTCTGCTTAAGCAACAGCCTTTGTGGTTGTGGGTTTGGGGAGGAGGCTGCGAGCTGCGATATGAGCCACCGACTATTTCTGAGCCCCATCAGACAGGCTCGCCTGTGCCTCGGGAGGGGGTCCGGTGGCAAGGCAGGCATGCACGGAGGAAAAATGCTCTTTAAGCCACTCTGGCTAAGCTGGAAAGGGCTCCAGGAGGGGGAGCACGGGGGTGTTGTGTGTGCAGTGAGAATGGCACGAAGGCATTGAAACACCGACCCCAGGGCTGTGCTGAGAGCCCTCCTCGGGCACGGCTGAGATGAGCTGGGGGGCTCCTGGGTTTAGCTGATGTTGCAGGAACCATCCCCATTCCCTGTCCAGCTGCAGGCAGCATCCCTCCACCAAGCGTGGGGGCTCTGAGCTGCCCACCCCACGCCTCCAGCCACCCTCCTGCCTGGACAAGCCATAAACTTACCACAAATCCCCACCAAATGGAATCTCTACCAATAAATGGTGACAAACTCTGGTGTCCCTTTTAACCATGGAAATGAATCCCTCCAAGCCAGCACAGAAATACCCTGCCTCTCCCCAGGTGTCCAGCCCTGGGCAGGAAGCGGAGCCGAGTGCCAGCACGCCCCAAAGTGCCCTGTTCCTTGTCTGTGCCATATCCCCAGACGTAGCCGTTATTCCCTGTTATTTTTGCATGAGCTGCTTGACCCGAGGAAGGTGCCCGGGGCCCCTGTTTGCTGTGTGACGGGGCTTGTCTCCTGGAGGGTTTCGAGTGGGGTTGGGGTGAGCTGGTTGCACAAATCGCTCTGGATTCCTGGCGAAGCAAACCGTGTCTGTCCTGCTTCTGTGGCCGTGAGGCCGGTGTCAGAGAGGCGAAAACACAGCTCAAAATTTGTTGGTGAGGACAAACTTCCATGTCTGAGTGCAAAGCAGCCCCCTCGCCCTCATGGGACCATCTGCAGGGACACGGCCGTTGTGCAACAAGCCACCATTTGCAAGGACGTGCAGGGGTGGTGGCCGTGCAAGAAGCCAAATGGCATCAGTTTCAAAGTATGATCAAGCAGTTGTTAAATGCATCCTCCTTACCCCCACCCTTTGCCCAAAATCTAGCTGGAGCCCACTGGAAAGGAAACCCCGTTGGCTGCTGGATGCAGCAAGTGCCAGCCATGGCAAGCGCTCCCCCGGGCAGGGAAGTGTTGGAGCTTTCAGGAGCAAGAAAACATTCCACTGGTTGTTGTTTTGTTGGGTTTTTTTTTTTTTCTTTTTTTCTCTCCCAGCTGCACACCCCGGGCTGGCGTTTGGTTCGCAGCCAACGCTGTAGGCATAGAGGAAGAAAACCACACCGGTTTGCACATGTGTTCCAGCGATTAGTGAAAAAGAGACCCCAAAGTAAGCTGCCAGGCAAGGGGCAGGCAGGTGGTGAGCTCCTGGCGGGAGCTGCTGCTTAAAAGGTCTTTGTTCAGGCTGCAAACAAACCGCCGCGCTAGACGGGGGCTTTGCAAACCTTCCCGGGAAGGAACCCAAGGAACAAAGGGCCAGGACTTTGTTCCTTCTCTCCTAAACAGGTAGGAAATGTAGAATAGAGCAAATTTTAGCTCCTGCGTTTAAGTACTTCTGGAAAGAGAATTTGAAATCTACATTCCACAGGGCTAATTTTGTGTGGACCAGAGTGCACGCAGGAACGGTGATATATATGGCTGAAAAGTGGTTCCCAGATGCCAAAACCAGGTTCTGGTATGCTGTCCTGGATCCTTCCAGGGTAACATTAACCATGACTTTCTATAAGCACTTCGACCCTTTCAGCTCAGACATTGCAGCGAAGGAGAAAGACACGGATAGTTTTGTTTTATTTTTAATATGAGGATGATAGTTTGAAAATAGTAAATATTGGAACAGAGGATGAGGGATCTGTGCCAGCTGAGAGCACTGGGAGTGTGTTCTCCTCGGGATAAGCATAGGATGATCTTCCATCTGTGTGCAGTGCAGACTGTACCGGAATGGAAACCTGCTCCATCGCGTGTCCCCTGTCACTGCCCGGTTTGAAGTAATGGTGACAATGGCACTAAAATGGAGAGTCAAGGGTGCATCTCCTATCTGTGCTGGCACTTTGCCGTGCTGCAACGCGAGCGTTGACATGCGCAGGCGTGCATGGGCTTACCGCAAAGGGTTATTTACCACTTCCATTACTTCAGGGTCTAATTTTTCATCTCCACCCCACTCGTGCACTCTGGATTTAGGGATAATGGTGGAAAGCTGGATGAGGTCCTGGTTTGAGCAGGATGATGTGCAAGAGACGTGGCTCTGAAGAAGCATGGTCAGCCCCAAGGAGCCCTGAGCAATATGACGAGCACGGCACCATCCAGCTTGGAAAGATTTCTTGTCTTCTTTCTGCCCTGCCCGGGGAAGTTGCTAAAGAAACCTCCTGGTGTGAAAGGGACTGGTGCAAACACGGAGCAGCCCATGGGCACGAGCCCTTCCCTGCCCGGCTGGGGAAGGGACGGCTGGATAAAATCTGGATAAAATACCTCTCATCACCTCCCACAGCCTGCAATCAGAGATGCTGCATGAGACACCGGTGTGACGGTGCTGAAACCCACCCGTGGGCCCTGGCACGAGGGAACAGGAGCCCCATAAACGCGGGGCCACCAGCTCCCCCGCACGGCCGGTGCCGCAGACCCGGCTCTGATCGACCGCAGCTCGCCCGCTCCCGGCCACAGCCCTGCCAGAGCACCTGCATCCTTCTGGTTTTATTAGCGGAATAAATTGCCACTTAAAATATCCATTCTCTGTAAGGCCTGGCCCCCCTTTAGGCAGCTTTAGCTGACTTAAAAAATTCCCCTCTCCCCGTCTCCTTGTTGAATAAACCTCTTCTGCATCTTCCTCATGGGTATCCTCAATTCCTTCTTCCTTGGGTTTTTCACTCTTCCCTGCTCCTCTACCCCGTTGTAGCCCGTAACAAGCATGTCACCGTTAGTGGCGAGGACATCTCTTTTTTTGTCACCAGGTTTCCATTGCTCGTACCCTTCCAGGTGT